GTGGGGAGTCTGCTTTTCCCTCTTCCTCTGTCCCTCCCCCACTATTTCTGCGCTTGCTCTCTAATAAGTAAAATCTTTACAAAAAATACTTTCTAGCATTTACACAAATGGAATTATGCTTTACCTGTCCTATGTTTTACCTTTTCCCTGTGAGTACATTCTGTCCATCTCGTTCTTTTTAATGGCTGTATAATATTCCATTGTATGACTGCATAATAATTCAGACTGTTTTGAATATTTAGACTGCTACCAGGTTTTTGCTAACATGTCTATTGTAATGAATATCCTATACCCTTACTTATTTGTATTTGTAGAAATAGAATTGGTCAGTCCATAGGTAAGCATATTAAATGATTGCTGTCTTAAATTCTCTTCCAAAAAGGATTTTTTTTAAACAAACTTGCAGCCCTACCACCAGTGTGTAAAGATTCCTCTTTCACACAAATCTTTACACAGTGTGTAAAGATTTCCTCTTAGATAGTTTTTAAGATGTGTGTCTTCACAGGATTCTTGTAGCTTTTGTGAATCATTTACTATTACACTGAAATTCTTCAGGAGATATGAAAAATTTGCCATGTTAGCTGTAGTCTCTTGGGTACTAATGTTAAAGAAATGTATTGGATGGAATTAAAATCAGGGTGCTTCATTTTATTTTCTCAGTCTTGGCTGGATTACTAATCTCATGCTCCCTATCAGCCACTGATTACTTTGAAAGCCTTCTTGGTTTTTCAGTAGGCTTTCTTCTAGCATCTATATTTGGGCCTTCAGGTGAATATGAGAATAGATATGGAGCCATTTTCTCAAAGACTCTGCCCTTTTCCAGGCAGTCCATATATAATAACATAACCTAACATCCTTAATTTGTTTCTTATCATTGGTACTTTGGTGAAAGGGGCCCTACACCAAGTAGGAGCCCATTTGGAAAAATTTGAGTTGTAGACAGTAGTTTTGCTTCACTGAGGAACATCATTCTTTTTTTCCTCCTCTTTTAAAAAAAAAAGTCATTTGGCATGTTCTTTCAGCTTATGGAGTTGTAGCCAGCCCACCCTACCCACCCCCCCCTGCCCCCCTTGGGTGGTTTAGATCAGCCTCTCCGGGCAGTACTTTGAAGTCTGTGAAATACATTGGTAATTTAGGCTGACATACTTGGCAGGCCCATTTAAAAAGCAGAATTGTTTGATGGTATGACACAAGAGGTCTGTTAACCGAGTTATAAAGAACTGAAGCATTTCCAACAAACCCTTGTTTTGGCATGAAATTTAAATAGTTCTTACTTTGTGGCATGCAGTGAGTGAACTTCTAGTGATGTAATATAGTCCCTCAGTGCAAAATATAAGGAAATGAGAATTTTACTATACCTAGCAGTTTCTCCAAGGAGGAGTGGGTAGAACTGAATATGTGGTTATTTCCTCCTTTAATTCAGTTCGGCTACAGCAAGGGGAGTATCTTAGCAAGATGGGAAGAAGCAAGTCTAGAGGGAGCGGTAACACTTGGGAAATGTGGAAAAAATGGCCAATCAGTGGTGGGAGTAAGAAGGGCAGCCTAAATAGCTTAATTCTTACAGTGGATTTAGTACAAGGCCCTAAAAATCTGTGGGTTTTCTTAAAAATATTGCAGAATCGAATCCAGAGATATACAGGTCATTTGTGTGTGTTTGTGTTATGCAAACATCCTGAAACCTTTCTTGACTTGAGTATAATTTAAGTCCTGTATTTTTTACTCTAAGCTCATCATTTTAATTATCAGAATCACTCAACTTGTTCTAAATTCTAAGTCTTTAAACCAGATGTTGCTCCTCTTATCAGAAAGGTAAGTTTTACATAGTTTAGAGATCAGGAAAGAAGTATTCCAAGGTACAAGGTTACCAAAATAAAGCTTCAGTTTATGTTGCTAAAGCTGTCTGAATGCTGGCATTACTGTTGGGCTCTTCTTTCCCAGCAAAAATGGAACAAAGTAGTTTGAATACATGTCTGTGTGTTAAAGTGGAAGCATGTGACACCAGCGAATGGGTACCACATGGCAAAGATACCCAGGAGCAAGTCAGTAATATGAAAGGGATAATTTAGTTCTGTTTCATTTCATTTTTTTCCCTTCAGGGAGTATGCCTGCATATGCGAGCGTGTGTGTGTTCCTATGGAGAAATCAAGCCCCTCATTTGAGTTTATGCATGTGGTTGGTTTAGTGAGGTTTTATGCCTGCCTGGTTTTAATATTAATCTTTATTCTTACACCTTCACTTAGAGCATTTAGATACCAGATTTCTTTATTCTTGCAAATGGAAATGATCGAGAGTGACAGTGGTACAGAACTCTCTTTCCTACATCAGCGAGTTCTTGTGCTGACTTAGAATGGGGCCCACTGGCTGGGCCTGATCTTGTTTAATAGTTGTGTCTGTGTGTGTTTACCTCCTTTTCCAGGCTTTATCCATTTATTCAGAAATTAATTGTTGAGAGTGTAGTCTGTGCAGACCCTGTGCTGGCTTTGACTATATCCCTCCAGGAGTACCCAGAGCCGTGTGCCTTGATCGTAGTAGGCACTAAGAAATGTTATATGGCAAGAACAGTTATTTCTCTCAGTCAGAAGTTTCACTCTGAACACTTTCTATGAATTACAGTGTTGTTGATGGCTAGAGCCTTTAGTTTAAGGACTTCAAAAATAAAACACTTGAGAATACTGAAATATGTGTCCTATCAAAACCATTTCAAGAATGTGTATCTTTGGCTAACATTAAGTAGGTATATATCGATAAGTTTGTTCTTATATTATTTGTTTTCATCTAAGTCCTTCAGAGACTTTCTCATCTAAATCCTTTAGAGACTAAGATTTCCATTGTTTAGTAGAAAGAACGTGTGTTTTAGAGCTAAATGACACTGGTCAAATCTGCTTTTATAACTTACTAACTATATAATTAATTACATTTAGCTCTAGCCAGTTGGCTTGACACTAGACAATCTTTCTGAGCCTTTGTTTCTCCATCTTATTTTTCCTATCCTATTTTATAGGGATGATAAACCCATTTTACATGATTGTCTTGAAAATTAAGATTATAGATAGAATGATAGGTGCTAAGTACCTACCACATAGTAGATAATCAGTTGTTAGTTTCACTTTTCACTCCATTAATGTGCTTACTTTTATATTACTTTAGTAGTATCATGTCTTAAAATCTGTGTTTTATTTGGATATCTGGAAGGTAAAAGACATTTTATATTTTGTCAATGGGAATGGCTACAGGAATAAATCTGTAGAAGAACTTTTGCTCAGTACATGCTAATACAAAGTTATATAAAGGTTATTTTCAGTTACCCCCAATACTAAATTGCTTTTTCTTTTTGTAATTTGAACACCAAAATGAAGTCTGTATTTATACAGTGTTTGTGTCAGAGCAGTTGTCTCCTTTGGAATTAAAGGGCCACAAGTGTATATATCTGTTAAGATTAAATGCTCACTGTTGAATTTGAGTTTACCTTTATATGCTATGCATTTTTTTTTTGAAAAGAGGTTTTAATAAAGTTTCAGATCTCTTTTTTTTTAAGATTTTTTTTTTTTTTTTTTTTTTTACAGAGAGAGAGAGAGAGAGAGGTCACAAGTAGGCAGAGAGGCAGGCAGAGACAGAGGGGGAAGCAGGCCCCCCACCGAACAGAGAGCCTGATGCAGGGCTCAATCCCAGGACCCTGAGATCATGACCTGAGCCGAAGGCAGAGGCCCAACGCATTGAGCCACCCAGGCACCCCTCCCCCTTTTTAAAAATTTGACACAGAGAGAGAGAGATCACATGTAGGCAGAGAGAGAGGGGAAAAGTTTCAGATCTTTGTAACTATGGCTACAAGATACAGATCAGCTCTGTCACGACCAAAACCTACCTGTCATATTTTCCCCCCACATCTGAACCCCTGGCAACCACTGTCTGTTCTCATTTGCTGTTGTTTTGCCTTTTCCAGAATGTCCAAAAAATGCACTTAAATGTAGCCTTTCGAGACTGGCATCTTTCATTCAGTAGGATGCCCTTGAAATTCATCCAAGATGTCAGGTCTGTTAATACTTTGTTCCTTTTTATTGCTGAGTAGTATTCTGCTGTGTGGATGAACCAGTTTATTTATCCAGTCACTGGCAGGGTTCTTTTGGATTGCTGCAAGTCTGTCTTAAAATAGTACATTTTGTAAGTTCTGATTTCAAAGTAGAATAATGTATACTAATCAAGGAACAATTGGAAAATAGGTAAGACTTGGAAAAAATGGTGTCTGCCCAAATATAACCTCTGTTGACATTTAGGTATGTTTTTCTTCAGTCTTTTTCCTGTGTGTAGAGGTTTTTGTTTTGTTTTGTTTTGTTTTAGTTTATTTTTACATTGGTGTGGTTCTTCTCTTCTTTTATTGCTTTTTTTCAATGTTTTAGTTATGAGGAGTATCTGTAATAAATGGTTTAAGAAGACTGTAATGCAAATACTCCGGTAACCATCCAAACTAATAGAATATCGCCAGTATCTTAAGCGTCTTGTGAGGCTCTTCCCCATCATATCACTTCTCTTACTAGAGTAATCACTATCCTAACTTCAGTGATAGTTATTCCCTTCTTCACTTCATGGTTTTCCAACCTATGTGTGTTCTTCAAACAATATAATTTAATTTCGACCTTTTTTGAACTTAGTGGTCTCTTTTTTTTTCCTCCCAATTTACTATAAGTAGTATTTGCTCTAGCTCTAAGTTTCCTAAAGATGCCTTTTAGGCTCACAATACTTTCTTTTTTTTTTTTTTAAAGATTTTATTTATTATTTATTTGACAGAGAGAGATCACAAGTAGACAGAGAGGCAGGCAGAGAGAGAGGGAAGCCTGCTCCCCGTTGAGCAGAGAGCCCAATGCGGGACTCGATCCCAGGACCCTGAGACCATGACCTGAGCCGAAGGCAGTGGCCTAACCCACTGAGCCACCCAGGCGCCCCTCACAATACTTTCTTAAGTAATGGTCACTGTGGCCTTGTGGCCAATTCTTTTATTTTTTCAGATGTAGGTGCAAGAAACTACAGGCATCTCTGCGCTGTTTATTACAACAAGAATCCTGGGTTCGAGATAATCCATGGGCTGCTGGACAGAATCATGCAGTTGCTTAATGTGCCTCCTGGTGAAAAGAAGGGCGGATATGTGATCAAAGCATCAGAAGGTAAGACTGATCGGCCGAATCCAGAGTTAGTGATAATGTAATGAAGAGTCCAGGCCCCATTTTGGTATTTTTTTCAGTTTGATTGGGGTGGGGAGGTGGGAAATAGAACTTCATTTAATTGTTAGTATTTTCCAGAAAACATTCCTTTTCCCTGAAGCATCTTAGGAAAATGCTTGTAGAGTCTTCTAGGTCTGCACAAAATACTTTTGTTCTAGCTGAGTGTGGTAGCCCATAGTTATTGGCACTATCAAGCCCCCAGCTCCAGGGTGAGACTTCTGAACTCAGGAGTCCAGACTGGACGCTGGGAGAACCTGACCTGATGATGTGCACTCAGAAGCTGCCTGTCTGAAGCGTTTAAGGCAAAGGAAAAACCTGAAAGTTATCCTAGAGGCTTCACATGTAATTCAGTTCTAAGGCTGGCTGAGGAAGAGTGAGCTTCTTCCTGTCTAAAAGCCCAAGGGCAGTAAAATGTGTTGGGGAGTTTCAGTTAGGCTAACTGTTAGGCTAACCAGACGGAGTCTGTGTACTACTGATGTGAGGCATTCTGGAGTTTTTGCTTTTAGTATCCCTTTAGTTTGCATCTGAGTTTGTTTTGTTAGACTAGAGATCCAGAAACAGCTTGAAAGAAATATCCAACAGCTTGTTCCTACTGCTTACCTGACAATTTTTCATCATTATTTGGCCTCTTAAACTTATGACACAACATTGTTTTTTTATTTTTAAAGTGTTATTTGGCAGCTACATATAGTGGTGTGAGGTTTGTCGGAGGACCTGTTTTTGTTTTTCTTACATTTATTTTTCTTAGTCCTCATAGATTATTTTTTGTTGTTGGTTTGTTTTAATGTTTTGTTTTTATTTGAAGACTTCTCTGAAAATGCAATAATCCTGAAACACATGGGCCTTTTTAGGTAGAAGACGTGTGAGATTATTTATTTTTTTTAATGACGTTTGAGAGATTAAATATGACAGGGAGTTACTGTTTTCTTCTACATCTCTCATTAACAATTACCCACTGAAACCTGTGTTATCCTTCTAAACTCGGAAGTGTTAGAACGGGATCTTGGAGTTCAGCAAGTCCAGTTCTTGGTTTGACAGGTGAAGGAACCAGGACTGGGCAAGTCGAGTGAGCTGGACTGTGTCAGTAGGAGAACTGAGGGCTCCTGCCACCCAGTGCCCCTCCCACAGCACCAAGTTGCCTACCTTCACAGTGCCTTTACTTACTCCTTCATGAGTTTGCTCTTCTAGAATTTTGTGTTAAGATACAGTCCTCCAAATGAGTAGCAGCCTGAAAGCTGATGTGACTCATCTTCTTTACCTTCTGAAGTCTTAGCATCTTCACTTCATAAACAGACTAACCGGATAAAAGTTCTCTGAAACAGATTATGCCATGTATATGAGGTATAATTTTCTTTTTCTTCAAAGGTTGCAAAGAGCTGAAATGGTAAAATGCAGCATAATTGATTATGGATAAGATACTTTAAAATTTTTTTTTAAATTAACATATAATGTATTATAATTTCAGGGGTACAGGTCTGGGATTCATCAGTCTTATGTAATACCCAATGTTCATTACTACACAAGCCCTCCCAAATGTCCATCACCCACTTACCCCATCCCCCTACCCCTTCCACTCCAGCAACCCTCAGTTTATTTCCTAAAATTAAGAATCTCTTATGGTTTGTCTCCCTCTGTGGTTTCATCTTACTTCATTTTTTTCTCTTCCCCTATGATCCTATGCCTAGTTTCTTAAATTTCACATATCAGTGAGATCATAAGATAATTGTCTTTCTCTGACTTCTTTCACTTAGCATCGTATGTCTAGTTCCATCCACGTTGTTGCAATTGACAAGATTTCATTTTTTGATGGCTGCGTAATATTCGTGTGTGTGTGTGTGTGTGTGTGTGTGTACAAACCACATCTTTTGGGCAGGATACTTTTAGGTGTAACTTTTATATTAATGATGTTTCTGTAAACCAAAAACCAACATCTTCATATTAGCTTTAGTAAGCTTCTTAGACATTTCTTTCTTTTTTTTTATTTTATTTTATTTATTTATTTGACAGAGAGAGATCACAAGCAGGCAGAGAGGCAGGCAGAGAGAGAGGAGGAAGCAGGCTCCCTGCTGAGCAGAGAGCCCGATGCGGGGCTCGATCCCAGGATCCTGAGATCATGACCTGAGCCGAAGGCAGCAGCTTAACCCACTGAGCCACCCAGGCGCCCCTTAGACATTTATTTCTTAGAAGAATCCGAGTTCCTAGTTAATGAGGCAGGTTTCAGGAAGACCAAGATGAAGACAGGCCCTGCTGTCCAGGCACCTGCAGGGGCAGAGGGGAGCACCACATACCAGCTCTCGTACCACACTGCTCCATATGACAAGTGCCTTGAGGTTTCCAAAGAGGGAAGTAGTGCAACTGAGGGCATCTGGGAGAGTATTAATGAGCTTCTGGGCAATCAGATGGGCATTTGAAGGAAGAAGTAGGTGGAGACAGAGGAAGCAAGGCAGGCCACATGAGGAAAGACAAATACGATGGCATATGGGACCTAGTGCAGTTTGGTTTGACTATATGATGAGGAGTAAGCTTAGGACTATATTTAGCATCCTGGATGCTAGAATAAGGGATTTTAGCTAATTAGGAGAAAAATACTGAAGGCTTTTTTTTTTTTTAAGCAAGTAAGTGATAGGACTTAGATCTCTGAGTCCAAGGGATTAATCTGGCAGCAATATGGAGGTTGGGTGGCATAGGGAGTCGGGGTAGAGAGGATGGTTGGAACGTATTGGAGTGTGTATACTGTGATAGAATAGACACTAAATTATAGTAGTGAGGGTGTGGACTTGAACTTCGGTACTGGGCATAGCTATTCCAAGGAGAAGACTGATTCAAGGAACTTCTGAAAGGTAGGAGCTGTAGCACTTAGCATTTGGAAAATTTCATGGTATATGCCACTTGGAACTTTTATAATAACAGCTAGTATATGTCGGTCTTCAGATTTTTGTAATTCTAAACCTGTGGCAGTATTTAAATCCTTTCTTATTTTGTTGCTAAAATATGTAATGCTTCTCACTTAATTTCCCTAATATGTAGATTCTGTTTTGGTTTGGAGTTTTGTTTTTTTAATTAGAAAATGCATTCATAGATTGTAACCTTTTCATATGGTTGTAAATATTTATATTCAGTTTTTTAGACCAAGTTGTTACTATGGTTTTGATTTAGTATGAGAACAGTCAGTATTCTGTTTTCCTTTTGAATTTATTTAGGGTTTCATAGTAGAATATTCTAACATTTTAAAGTTTTGACATCTATGAAATCTCCTAGATTTATGTAATTTGAAAAACTATGGTACAACTTCTTTATGTATATGGGTGGCCTGGACCAGTACATATTTCAGTATATCTAAACTGGCTATTCTGAGAAAATAAAACAGGGTATTTAGTTCTAGTGTCCCTATCACCAGCTTTGGCCACATCTTTTTTTCTAAGCGCTTTCTGTAAGAGCCATCAAACCAAAGAGAATTAGTGTCATTCTAAATAATAGTTCCTCATTTCTAATAGGTATTTCTAAGTCTATTTTGATTAATGACAGACATGGTCTTTTTACTTAAAGTAAGTGGTTTGTCAAAATAAGTCAGTAGTAAAGCTGGTATTCATCTAAAATCTCACATATATAGATCATATAGATAAATATGTCAATATAGGAATTTGGTAGTGGACTGTGTTTAGCTACATCATTTCCACCTATTTACTGTTATTTTGTATATAGCTTTTTCTGCAAAGAAAAGGTCTTGAAAGTATCATAAAGAATAGAAAGGGATTAAGAGTTACCATTTCCTACCATTCTTGATTACTGAGTTGTCTTCTGTTACTCTGGCATATGGTTTACTTTTTAATAATTAAAAGTCCCTGGTGGCTTTGCATTTATAATTGAGCTAAGTCTGTTTGCCAGAGATTCCTGCTAGTGTCAGTTCTTTGCAGTTACACTTGATTTCGTCTGTGTTTTCTAATGAACACCATGGACTTCCCTTTATGCTGTGCTGTTTGGTGGGGATAAGTGGATAGAATTTGATTCCCCTTTGAGAAATGTGGCCCTGTCCATTGTGAGAGAAATCCGGAAGCTTATTTGATCAATCATTGCATTGATCCCTAGGCGTTCTGTTGACATCGGAAGGTAACCTTGTTTATTATGAAGGTAGCCGCTCTCTGCAGCCTGAGGGATCTGTGCAGGAGCATGCGGGGCTCGCGGCTACAGCCGGACGTAGAAGCCATGTCGCTTAGCTTTAGAGTTTTCCTTGCTGAGCACCTATGCACTTAACATAGCATGAGACAGAACATGGAGTTGGTGATAGAATAAGGGCAGTTAACGGGGGAGGGGGGACCTTTAATGTTTTAGCGGACTGTAGAGCCTTTGAGGGTTTCAGAAGGGTTTGCTCAGTGTTTCAGTGGCATTGGATCAGATTATTGCAGCATATGTATTGCCTCCCCCCCCGCCGACAAGCTTCTTCCCTTTTGTGGTTTGTTGCAAACTAAATTATGTATGTCAGAATGCATTTGTCCTTTTCAGAAACCACTTTTGGGCAAGAAAAAAAATCTCAGTGTTTCTGTGTTTAGGACAGTTACATGGTTGCTGGGCAAATCAGTGGCAAAAGTAATTTCTCGTAGGAGGCGGGAGGCTTTATGTGCGGTTGGCTGCATTGACTTTGGTTTGTGTTTTTTCCCTTTTTTAACTTTTTTACCAAGTTGTTTGTTTTATTTACAGTTCTCCAAAAAACTTCAGTTTAACTTGAGATAAGATTCCTAAGAGGTAGGTTTTACAGCTTTTTGTTTTGACCATTCTAGTTTTCACGCTGCTCAGAATTCATCTTGTGAAATGAATAATAACCGTGTAAGGAATACGCACATTTAATCCTGCACCATATGTGCTCCTGGTGCTTCTTTAGAGACCTTCTGTTACAGTAACACCTAATGATCATCGATTTGACCTGGAGGTCATGACCTTTTCCTTTT